TACTTCAGGGAGATCATGCCAAACTAATCTTATTGATTTTTTTGATTGGGTAACTAAAATTATAGATCAGGGTGGTGCAGTAGACATTGCTTACCTAGATTTCAGTAAGGCTTTTGACACTGTTGCACATAGAAGGCTTATCAATAAACTGCAATCTTTAAGTTTGGATTCCAATATTGTTGAATGGGTAAGGCAGTGGCTGAGTGACAGGCAACAGAGGGTTGTAGTCAATGGAATATATTCAAAGCTTGGACTTGTCACCAGTGGGGTACCTCAGGGATCTGTGCTTGGAGCCATTCTCTTTAATATTTTTATTAGTGATATTGCAGAAGGTCTTGATGGTAAGGTATGTCTTTTTGCTGATGATACTAAGATATGTAACAGGGTTGATGTTTGTTAGTGAGTGTGTATGTCTTTTAGCTAGTATATGCGTGTTTAGTGGATAGGTGAGTGCGCTGGATCTTGTGTATTGTATTATTTGGCCCTCAGCAGCACCCCCATTTATGCATGTTCAGGTGAGTGCAGCCAACCCCCCTTGTTTCATATATATATATATTTGGGAGTCTAGCCAACTCCTTGGTTTTGCACCCCTCCCTGTCACAGGTGCCTCATCCCAGGGCCCTATTTAGCCTTGTACTGCAGAGAGCCCCAGATGGAATTTTTTTTCCTCAAGTAAGTTGTTAATCTCATAAGAGCAGACATTAGGTTAGTGTAGGACCTGCTAAAGATGGGGTACATTGACGTTGTGGCAGGCTTATGCAATGTATGATCATATAATGTAACTAAACCCCCATTATTTTTGCCTAGATTAGGTGTTTTTAAAAAAAACTAATAAAATCTTTCAACATTGAAGTTGCTGTTTAGTGGATAGGTGAGTGCGCTGGATCTTGTATATTTTTTTCGCAAACCTATTTCTATGAAATTGTTCTGTTTTTTTTTTTATTTTTGTTTCTCCACATATATATGTTGTAAGCATCTGTCTGATTAGCTAATACTATTACTCTTTCTAATGACCCAAGTAAGCAGGAAAATACATGATGGGCTCCCATGTGGCCATTGGGACAGGCTATTAAGTCCTGACCATTGTCAGCTGCATTTCTCTCACACATTGTTCGCTATTTAATTGTTTTTTCCAAAGTCCAATATTTTAGAGCGAGGTTTTATCAATATGTCATAGTCTACGAGCGAAACAACCATTATTTACCATTTGCTTTGCCTCTAGCACTTTGTTCTAAGAATCCATGTGTTGGGTGATGGGGAAAAAAAAAGAAAGCTGTCTCACTATTACAGGCAACTGCAATCTGTTGGTTTATTATAAATCTCAATCTGCTGTCCAATCTGAAACTTCTGCAGGGGTTGTGGAGGTCTGTACTATATAATTACCATGGGGAGCAGTTGAATGTTCCTGCAGATTGCTCAGATTTTAGATCATTTCAGAACTGGGAAATGAAAATGATAAAACTGAAAAAAAAGATAAACAAAGAAACCTGAATTGAATGGAAATGTCATAAAGTTGCTTCTTTAAAAAAAACAAAAAACATTTACAGTTGTGCTCAAAAGTTTGCATACCCATGGAGAATTGGTAAAATATGTACCATTTTTAAAGATAACATGAGTGAGCAGGCAAAACTATTTTTTTTATTTTTTTATTTCTTATGAGATTCATATTCAACTGTAGCTTATAACAGAATGGCACAATCATAAAACAAAACATGGCAAAAAAATTATGAAATGACCCCTGTTCAAAAGTCTGCATACTCTTAGTTCTTAATACTGTGTATTGCCCCTTTAGCATTAATGACAGCGTGCAATCTTTTGTAATAGCTGTCTATGAGGCCTCAAATTCTTGCAGGTATTATAGCTGCCCATTCGTCTTGACAAAATGCCTCCAGGTCATGCAAAGTCTTTGGTTGTCTTACATGAACCGCACAATTTCAGATCATCCTAGAGAGGCTCGATGATATTAATGTCAGAAGACTGTGATGGCCACTCCAGAACCTTCATCTTTTTCTGCTGTAACCACTGGAGGGTCAACTCAGCCTTGTGCTTAGGGTCATTGTCATGCTGCAAAGTCCAAGAGTGTCCCATGCGCAGCCGTAGTGCAGAAGAATGCAAATTGTCTACCAGTATTTTCTGATAACATGCTGCATTCATCTTGCCATCAATTTTCACAAGATTCCCCATGCCTTTAGAGCTCCCCCCTCCTCCAATTTTTGTTCAGTTATCATCGTATTGTGCTCCTTGAAACAACCACAGCATCTTTTTTCCAGAGCAGCCTGTATTTCTCCTGACATTACCTGTGGGTTTTTTCTTTGTATCCTGAACAATTCTTCAGGCAGTTGTGGCTGAAATCTTTCTTGGTCTACCTGACCTTGGCTTGGTATCAAGAGATCCCCAAATGTTCCACTTCTTAATAAGTACTGACTGGCATTTTCAAGGTTTTGAATATCTTTTGATATCCTTTTCCATCTTTATAAGGTTCCATTACCTTGTTACGCAGGTCTTTTGACAATTCTTTTCTGCTACCCATGGCTTAGTGCATCCACGTGAGACCTAACAAACTCATTGACTATTTATATACAGACACTAATTGCAATTTAAAAAGCCACAGGTGCAGGAAATTAAACATTAAATGCCAAGTGATAATAAATGGCTTCATATGATCAATATTCTTTAATAAAATATTTTTTTTTCCCAAGATGAATGCCAAAATGTCACAATTAATACCACGGTATGCACACTTTTGAGCACATCTGTATGTCCAACATATAGCTATAAATTCTTCCCCTGTGGAATTGCTAAATTTTACTTTATTAAAGTAGTAATATTAAGTATTATTATTATTATTGATGGAGAGAGCCTATTTATCTACTTAAACATTTTCTGCCAGGACTGAAGACTATGTGCCTGTTGCCATGCTGTGCCCTCTATGGTTGTGTGGGTTCATCTTCATCGTCAAGAACATGTTGCTAAAGACCTAGGATAGAGGCAAAAAGTTGATGTTAAAAAAGGGGGTTTTAAATTTTAGAAGAGCAACTTAAAATCACCTATCTTAGCAAACAAAAATGGGGATCCAGTTACACCATATGGTCACTTTGTGTTAATCCCACCACTACATAACAATTCCACATTATCAATGGGTCCTACACTAAGTTTAACATGGGAGATGAACATGCTTCTAAAAACTCTCCTCAAATGTATGATTTCCTGTGGCCACTAGCAAAGGAGAAGAATTTCAAATTTTCCAGAAGAACAAAACAAAAACCAAAACATGCAGTTTGTGAGCTTATTACGTCGTCCTAATCTTTTTTGTGTGAGTTGTTGCAGGTGTTGGATAAAGCCCACAAACAGGTTTCCCTACACTTTTTGTATTCAACTTCCAGTTGTATATTCCACTACGATTATTTGCTCACTTTGTAAAGCTCTTTGGATACGTATGCTACCTGCATAATCAATATGATCACTGAATTTAACAATGATGCTGGATGTTATCCATGCCTGCTAGGCATGTTATAGCAGGAGTCAGAGCCAAGGACTGTATGGCATTTATCATACCATACTGAAGTGGAAAAATCAATTAAAGTATTGATTATTTCTTTGTGTATCTGCCCCTGGCCAAATCAATGAAACAATGCGTGCACGCTCCCTGAAGTAATTCACACCAGACACAGGTTCCAGGTTGTTGAATAACTTGAGGAAAGTTTATTCAGAGGGGACGGCAAGTCCCTTTTAAAGCAAAATTACATCATAAGCATTGTCAGAGATAACATGGAATAATACATCAATTATTGGTTAGGTGTTAAGTGGTTGCTTCAATGCTCTGCCTACTGTAGGTGATGTCACCGGGGCCATGAGGGTCTCCCACGGTTTACCGGCGCCATCTTGGTGCACGAGGTAGTTAGTCGATGTTAGGAAGGAGAAAGGGAGGGGAGGGGGAAGGAGCTAGAAGCTTCCAGCAGCCATCTTAATTATAACGTGTGTGCTTAGCTATATATATATATATTGTGAAATGAGTAAATAGACATTTTTCACTAACTAGGAAATATGTGCAGACCTTATTTCCACAACAGTCCTCCCTAAAATGGCTATTTACCATAACAACTGCTACTGTCCCTAATATGTCCCTAGTTGCCTGCAACCTATCTGCCTTAACTAGCATCGAACACTTCACTCCGCGGGTAACCCGCAGTGGCTAGTCCACTACATCTCCACACGTGAGACTTGCCAGTTAAGACAGACGCTTTCCCTATACTGTCCCTACAGGAAAGCAGTTGTCTGTTTGAACTGATGTGATTGAAGGGGTGTATGTGGAGTATCATCTTCGAGGTCTGTGATGTCTTGGTGTATGAAAGTAGGGGTCACGTCGTCTATAGTCTTGTCTACCGCTTTCTGTAGATACTTCTGTATGCAGGGGAATATGCAACAGGTCAGAAATAAGAAAATGACGATCATTATGAGAACAGCTGTCCCCACCTGGAAGAGGGTCCTTTGCCAACCATTCATCCATCCAAACCATCTGTCCCAAGTGTCAATGACTCCTGAATTTTTCTTTAGCTCGTCTGCGAGACTATCTAGCTTCTCTATGGCCATAGTCACCTTACCATTGGGCCCCGTATTGTCTGGAATGTATGTGCAGCATGTCATGGTCTCAGGGAGGATTTTACATACACCCCCTTTCTCAGCTAGAATCATATCTAGGGCCATTCTGTTCTGAAATGTCATTTGGGTAGTGGCTTGTAATTGCTCTGCCAGGCCCTGTAGGGCATCCCTAGTGTAGTTGACAAAACGCTGTTGATTATAGTAAATGTAGTTAATCCAATTGACATTTTTGTTAGCAGTTATCATTGGAATTAGGGACTCAAATCCTGCAGCCACTTCATCTCTTGCTTTGAATTCGTTAGGCACCCCCCTTGGCACACCTATGGCATCAATATACACATGGGGGTCGAAACTCCCTCGAATAGGAGTCTCTCGTTTGGTTCTAGAGTGTACATGTGTGAGGTTTAACGTGTTATGGTCACCATCTGGAATGATATGGATAGGCATTATGACTTTAGTTAGCGCACACTCCCCCCACCATTGCCCAGTTAATTGGGACCTCAATTGTTTATCCCCACATAACCAATAGATATCACCGATTGTCTTTGTGTGGTTCATTAGCAGTGATACGGGTGGATTATGGTAAGTTGAGCAATATCCTGATGGGAATTTGCCCAGATGCAAACCGGTGTTTTTAGACATTGTATAACATGTGTAATTACCTGGGTAGATGGTGACTCCATCAGGTGGTTTTACATGTCCGTGAGTGATCGGGTAAATTCTCTTCCACGATTCACATGTCGAGGAGTTGGTGACGGACTGTGTGTAAAGGCTCAGAACACATGATTCTACTTCAGGAGGCAAATTCAGAGGAACTGTGCCCAGATGGGGCCTGGCTCCTCCACACACGTAACAATTGGTCTTATTGTGTGAGTTGGCATTATACCTCATCCATTCTAGCCACAAATTAGTGTCTGAAAAACCCGTTTCCACTGCCATAGTGTCTTCAAAGGTGGGGTTGGCTATAGCTACCATGTCATGTAGGGTCTTAATATGTGGTTTTAATGGGTTAACGATCATGTGAGTGGTCCCTACCCAGTCTGGGGAGGTGAGCATGTCTTGTAGGTAGAATGTCCCCAGTGCATTGTGTGAGCCACCTCCCTTCCAGTACATCCCCATCACATATTCCCCCGCGTCCCTTGGACTAGGGTGTTCTATATTCAGGGTAAGTTTAATGGGAGTTGACCCTGTGGGTTTACTCAGAGTCATTCTAGAAAGTAGGGGCTTCCCGTCTTTGTCAAGTCTGTCTAGTGCAACCTGAGGTCTGTAGCCCCATGGTCTACCTGTATTCCACCCGGCAGCTTTCCATGAACTACAGTGGTGTCCCCAAGCTCCTCCAGTCACACAAATGTATGGGTCTTTTTTGTTAGGTATGTCTTTGTATATGGCTGCATGTTGTGTCTGTGGGAATGTACAGGTAACTATGTCACAGTAATCAAAGGTGTATGTAGCTACATCAGTATCAGAAGAATTGTACCAGAAAGTGTAAACATGATTATCTTTGGTTATGGCCACTTGTTGGGCCCAGGCAAAATGCAATAATATAAGAAAACACAAGACACATAATAAATTCATGTTTCAACAAGATCAGCTTCTTCTGGAGCAGGCACTTTTTTGCAATGTGAAGCGTGTATCCAGGAACTTTTTCCAGCTAGTTTAACTGACGTTGCTGTAATCAGGAGCACTTGATAAGGACCATCAAATCTCGGTTCTAGGGTGTGTTTCCTGAGGAACTTCTTAACCATGACCCAATCACCCGGAAGCAGCCTGTGTGTACCTGTATTCGACTCAGGATCTGGAATAGAAGAAAACACTTGGGCATGTATCTTGGTCAAGGCATGTGAAAGGGCAGTCACATAGTCTACCATAGCGTCTGACTGAATCTGAAGCTGTTGGGGAAAGTAGCAACCTAACCTGGGTGCTGTACCAAACAAAATCTCATAAGGTGACAAACTGTATTTTCCTCTGGGAGTATACCTTACACTGAATAACGCTAGTGGGAGACTCTCGGGCCAGGGCATGTTAGTTTCTTGTGACATTTTAAGCATTCTGGCTTTCAATGTGCCATTCATGCGCTCTACCTTACCACTACTCTGTGGGTGATATGGTGTGTGGAATGAAAGGGTCACCCCCAGTGCTGACCAGACTTCCCGTGTTAGCGAGGCAGTGAAGGAGGTCCCTTGGTCACTTTCAATTACTTCTGGAACCCCGTAGCGGCAAACAATTTCTGTCAAAAGGTACTTGGCTGTAGTCCTCGCGGTGAGATTAGTCACTGGGAAGGCCTCTGGCCATCCTGAAAACATGTCCACTATAACCAGTGCATATTCATGACGTCCGCTCTTTGGCATTTGAATGTGGTCAATCTGAATCCTCTGGAAGGGGTATTGTGGCTTGGCTAGATGATTAGGTGCAGTCTTTATGACCTTTCCAGGATTGCACTTAGCACATATAGTACAAGATTTGCAGTAATTCTGTGTTAAGGTAGTGATGCCTGGTGCTTCAAAATACTTGTCAATCAGTGAGTTCATCAGGAGCTTTGACAGGTGTGCTGGCCCATGGGCCCATTGGACCACCGCTGGGTACATACTTCTAGGTAGGCAGAACTTGAGATTAATGGTGTAAACTTCATCACGGAGTATTGCTCCTTTGTTCTTCCAACTTTGTTTCTCCTGAGGAGTGGCGGCAGCTTGTTGTTCCTTCAGCAGCCTGAGATCTGTAGGCAATGTTTGCATAGTGTAAATGGGTAATGTATCTGTGGCCACTCTTCTGTCCACTTCCCATCCTTGTCGTGCTGCCTCTTTGGCTGCCTGATCAGCTAGGTTGTTGCCACGTGCTTCTTCTGTGTCTAATCTTCCATGAGCTTTTACTTTCAGTACTGCCACTTCTGCTGGGAGTTCCAATGCGTCCATCAGTTCTGCAATGGCTGCCCCATGTTTTACTGGGGTACCGGTGGCTGTAAGAAATCCTCTGGTCTTCCAGATTAAGCCAAAATCGTGTGCCACTCCCAGGGCATATCTTGAATCCGTATAAATGTTGACACGTAGGCCTTCGGACAGTTTGCAGGCCACAGTCAAGGCTGTTAACTCGGCCTCTTGTGCAGACTTAGTTGGTTGTAGGGCAGCTGCTTGTAATATTTGACATCCTGTGGTGACTGCATATCCAGTGTGGTATTGTCCTTGTTCATCAGCAAACCTTGAGCCATCCACAAATAGTGTTTGATCCGGGTTGAGTAATGCAGCTTCATAAACAGTTGGTAGGTGTGTAGTTTCCATTTTCATTTGTTCAAAACAGTCATGGGGAATATCGATGAGGTTGCAGTCTATGGTGGGTGGGTCCTCACAGGCCTCTGTGTGGTACCTGGAGTATCCTGTTGTGCAGTAGTTAATGGTCTTTTTATTTATTCCCGTAGAAGTCAGTTATTCTTGAGTCATTTGGTTCCAAGTTTTGGCCATCGGGCCTAGGTTCTCCCATAAGGTGTTGTGGGATTTGGTGAGAGATATGTGTGGGATAGCTGTTTCCCAATGGTGGTAGAAGTGTGCTACATTATCTGGAAGGTGAACCAAAATGAGCATGGTACCTGTAGAGTTCCAAAATAAGTCAGTCAGGGTAATTTGAATTTCTTTGAGCTGAAATAGTTCTTCCTCATAGTCCACATCAAGACTTGGTTCGTCCCTAAACCACAAGACACAGTGGAGTGGGGCCTCTGATTGTTCATCAGGGGGAGGTGTGAACACAGGCAACTGTAAATCTGCTCGAACATCTGGGTTGATATCCAGGCTGTACCAGTGATGCACAATTCCCCCCTTGGGAAGTGGCAGAAGAGTGGCTGGGTTCAGGGAAAGGCATCTCTGGAGTTTCACATTATCAGGTAGGAGTAAGGATGTCTGTAGGCGAAGGTGACGTTGGGAAGAAAGGTGTTTAGGTCGAACTTGCTGAAGGATTGCAGTAATGTCGTGAGGGGCCAGCACTGTGAGGTGATGGCCAAGAACAAAGTCATTGGTCTTGTCCAGGAGAGCGCTGGCGGCAAACACCGCTCGGAGGCAAGAAGGGCTCCCCCTTGCAACAGGGTCAAGCATACAGGAAAAATAGCCAATAGGGCGTTGTCTAGATCCATGTTTCTGGGTGAGGACTCCGGAAGCATGTCCCGATTTTTCAGAGACAAACAGGTGGAAGGGAAGTTGGTAGTTGGGCAGGCCCAAGGCAGGTGCAGAAGCAATAGCTCTTTTCAGAGTATGGAAACAGGTGATAGTTTCTTCTGTGAGATGAAAGGGCTCACTCCTGAGGGCATCATAGAGTGGCTGCATGAGCTTTGATGCTTCAGGTATCCAGGACCTGCAATACGTGATAAGGCCCAGAAAAGCATGGAGAGCCTGGTGATTAGCAGGTAGTGGAAGATGCAGAATGGCTTGTACACGTTGGGAGGTTAGATGTTTGGTGCCATGGGAAAGGCAGTGTCCCAAGAAGACCACAGAGGGCCGGCACCATTGTAGCTTGGATTTTGAGGCTTTGCAACCAGCTGCAGCAAGGAAACATAGGAGATCTTCTGAATCACGCTCTGCAATGAGCAAATCAGGAGCACAGAGAAGGAGATCATCAACATATTGAAGCAGGACGACATCCAAATGAGACTTCTGCCAGGGATCCAGCACCAGTGACATGGCGTGAGCAAACTGTGTGGGGGAATTCTGAGCCCCCTGAGGCATGACAGTCCAGGTGTATTGCTGTCCTTCATGGGTGAAGGCAAAGAGAAAACGACAGGAAGGGTCAAGGGGGACACTGAAGAAGGCATTAGCTAGATCCACCACGGTGAATATTGTTGAAGTTGATGGGACTTGGGATAAGAGGGTGTGGGGGTTAGGAACAATTGCAGTGTCTTTGATGGTCACATCATTCACAGCACGGAGATCTTGCACCATGCGGTACTGGTCAGGCTGACCTTTAACAGTTCTCTTTTTAACAGGAAACAGTGGAGTATTACATGGAGATGAACACTTGATGAGGGCACCTTTGGCAAGGAGACTTTCAACTTGTCTGGTAATGGCTTCAGCTTGTGCAGGCTTCAGAGGATACTGTGGCCTGCGAGGAGGCAGTGCCCCAGGCAGGAGCTGAACTAAGACCGGGGGCACATGTAAACGCCCAATATCATCCGGGCCAGTGGACCAAAGTTCTTGAGGGATACAATCCAGAGCACTGGGGGTTTGTGGGACCCGCGCATCCCCTGTACTGTCAGTTAGGTTTAACAAAATAGGGAGGGAACAGAGGACAGAGGTATCCTTTTGTGATAAGGGAGTTGTCAATTCAATCTGCCCATCTGCAGTGAAGGTAATGGAGGCCTGGAGCCTAGAGAGAACATCGGCACCTAGGAGGTTAATGGGGCAGGTAGAGGAAACAACAAAGCGTGAGAGGATGTGGGAACCTACGTGTAGAAGCTTAGTAAGGGGGTTGCTGCGTGGGGTTCCATCCACCCCAACACAGGAAACATCAGTGTCAGACAAGAAAGAAGGGTCAGGCAGGTCTTGTTCCCTAAGGACACTACGGGCTGCACCTGTGTCAACTAAGAAAGTGGTGGGGTGGCCCTCCACAGGGAGAACTACAGTAGCTAGAGGGCCTCCCCCAT